TTGCAACCTTGATTGTGTGCCAATGGTGCCATGTGGCTGTGTTGATAAGCGTCCTCGAAAACAGCGGCTAAATTAGAATTCCTTTGATCTAAGAAAGGTAATCCCTGACGTCGTTGTGACTGATACCCAGAGCGAGGTGGATAACCATCAAGTGGCAGACGTCGCTGCTGATGCGGTTGGTAGCAATCAAAATTCGGATTGGTTCCGCGTGGGGACCTTTGGTCACAATTTTGTTGAACGTGGCCTACTCTTCCACAAGAGTAGCAAATGGGTCGTCCCTCTCGTGTTCGCTGTCTTTGTGGTTCTTCACGACGATTTTGATTACGTCTAGCCAAACCATTTATTTGGGCGTCAACTCGTCGGTCAAGTTCTGGAATCTCCCCCAGAAGACTCTCTTTTATTTCGCGGATTTCTTGCAGAATACTACGGGACTCTTGACTTCTGGAATGGTAAGGTGGATTTTTAGCTTTAGTAATCAACGATTCCATCCTGGCGACTATCGGATGTTCGCGTTTTGGCTGCTTTTCTATGATAGCGCTTGTTCCTGAACTGCCAGCCAGTTTGCTCACTAGTTCCCCGAGCTTGTTGATAAGCCCCTGTAGTAGGTTCACTTGGCACGAACGTATTAGCTCTGACAAGAAGAGCGTCGAATTCCTTGGCGGTTTCGACCGCTTCTGCGAGAGTCTGAGGTTTTGTTTTCAAAACTTCCATCTGTAGTTCTGGCTTCAATCCTTCAACGAAATGGTACACTCGGGTGTTTTCCTGCATGTCTAATTTGTAGAGCTTCGATACAACAACACTTACATAATCTCCAAGTGGCTCGGTTGGTTTCTGCCGTCGTTGGGCTATCTGTTGCCTTTGTACCCATTCACGATTCCGATGGGAATAGCAACGATTCAAGGCATCCTTAACTAAGCCAAGGGTCGCTCGTTGGTCAGCGGGAAGTGTTCGAATATAGTCTTGTGCTGGCCCGGCAATGTGTATGATAAGCTGTGTTAAGGCTGCTTTGCTCTCGGGAGAAATAACCCGCGCTTCTAATTGATAATCGAATTCTTCCAACCATTGGTCGATATCTTCACGGTCATATTCGTAGAATTTGAAAATGTTTATGTCCTTAGACCCTCACTGCTGCGCTATCTTCCCCAATGTCTCGATTAGTTCTCTATATATTTGGGTTCGTTATATTCGGAATTTTCGTCTGCTGTTGATTCTTCACTATATGCCGCAGAATCTACTACTGTCGCTGGAACTTGACTGGAAACGAAATTCTCTTTGTATTTCTATTTGTGTTGGTTCTGTATAATTTATCATTCTATTTCGCACCAAGCTGGAACTTGACTCTAAGCGAAATGTTCTTTGTGGTTCTATTTGCTTTGGTTCCGTATAATTTATGCTGTTTCCCACCAAAATCGGCTGGTGAATTAATTAACTGGAAAAATCGTCTTTGTAGTGGTCCTTCGACCTTGGAATCACTGGTTTCTTCGTCTTCTAAATCGGTTCGGGGACCGTGTTGTAACTGACTGGAATGGATTGGGATGAAATCTTCGGATGGACTTGCGTTGCTTTCTTCACGTGGAACGAAGGGTAACGTTGGCTCTGGTAAACTTTGCTGAACAATAGATGGGTTTTCGCACGGTTCAACACTGATATCTATCGCCCCTATATTCGTTATGTTGGCTGGGTTTTGACTGGAAAATGCGGTGGAAAATCTTGGAGGGCCGATAGACGAAGTGGGCTGGTTTTCTTCGTTAAAACTGGTGGCGTGTGTTGGGGGCGACAAGGAACTTGGGTGAAACGGCAATTGAAACGACAATCTACAGTTTTCATCTACTGAAAATGAAGTTTGCACCTCACTATTGACTTTGGGCGTACTATTCCTGGCGACTGGAACGGCTGAATTTCCCGCTTCGTAAATTATATCGCGGCAAACTTTTCTTAAAAACTCTCTTCACGGATTTCATAAAGAGACAAAAGAAACATCTGGTACTCACGTTACTTGAGCGGTCCTGTCTTGTCGGCGCTCAAGGGATTTCATTGGCTTCTTTGAAATTGAGTTGACCTTCGCTGACCTTGATAACGTCCTCAAGGGATTACATGGGTGCTCAAGGGATTACATTGGCTTCTTTGAAACTGAATTGACCTTCGTTGACCTTGATAACGTCCTGGAAGCTCCAAGAAGTGCCCGGCGTAACCACCAGTGTGACGATGATTTAAAAGTGATTTTCTAATACTGCAAATCTATCCTCTGAGGTCAGTTATGACACAACTTCAATACATAAAGAACTGATAACAACGCTGATGTGAGAGCGAAGTATACAGTTGAGAAATCCTTCATCGTCCACCCATTTGAGCTACATGATTCAAGATCTCAATAAAGAATGCCCTCTTGGCTACGGCAAATTTGATAATCTCAAAACAAGAGTTAAATTTACGGAAACAAATATGGGAAACTGTAAATAACATTGCACCTCAACTGAAAAAAAATATCAAAATATTACGGATCATTACTTTTCCGTTTTTGCGATAGACCCAATAGTGTGCAACTAATGATCAACCCAACTTCCACACCACTAATTTGGTCTTTGTAGAACACTAACGTTACACTAGCCTGAGTGATTTTCTCCACCGATGGACCTATCTCATGCATAAATGCATTTTCTCTTTCAGGTTAGCTGCCAATGTGTTTCAAGTTTGATATTTCAGGTATGAAATTCAACTGAAGCTGTTCAATGATGAAAAGCTCCGAAAAGCATACAGGTTTGTATGATATTGGAATCCTCCGTTGCACCTCCATGTTTGGTTTCATTAAAAACAAAGCCCTTGTGTGTAAAGCATACAGTTGAGTGTCCACTAATGCTCACTAATCACTGCCAAATTTTAATGCCGTCGAACTTTACCGTGTAAATACCACTTGCATGAACATTTTACAAGCGACACGAGCTACAGGATACGTATTCATTCAAATGGGAATTGCGAATGGCTCATACATCATAAAATTTATTGTCTAGATCTTTGGCTAGTTACACGCGTCCTTCAGTTTTTTTCTGGACGATCACAGACGCGAAAAACCTCCGCCAAAATTTGATATATTTATTATCAAATCCCTTATCTAGACTCAGAAGAAAATGAAAATGTCGCATAGCAAATACAAAATTTTGAAGAAAAACTCCCTGCTATTTACAAGACGCACTCGATTCCACCGGGGATTGTGAAGATAAATCATGTACCAGCAGGGAATCAGGTGTCTCTTCTTTCGCACACGCTTTACACAAGGCTTCTTCACTGCCAGGTTTCGCTAGTGCTCTTTAAACAAAGTTCGAAACTAAAAAAAAGACACCACCTTGTTCCTCAAATATTCATTCCTTCCATTTCGCGGTTTACCTCTTAGGATAGCGGGATTCTTTGCGAAAATTCCATTCCGGTTTGTTTTGCGATAGTAAGGACTTACAAAGAAACGACCACGGCGACGCCGTGGACTACGCCGGTTAAAAAATGAATTTATATTTTACCAATGAATCTCGCGATACTATAACGTCATTTAGTTTGTTTCTCACTATTAAAACTTGCTCAAAAATGAATACGGAAGATAACGTTAAATCAGAAATAGAACTTTAAAATATTCGACATCGTCGTTCACGATCTCCAGTGAACGCAAAGTTTGGTCATTTCACGCTTTTGTTTTGCAAAGGACGCAAAGAAATTTACAAAGATTTATAACGCACGTGCACAGCCATTGTTCACATTTTGTATAGTGACGTTCCCGTTGCCGTCGCCGTCGTGGTTTTCTTAACCTCCCACGTTTCTCTCTGTTTCGTCTTAGCTTTCCGTCTGTCTCCTAGTAATGAGAATTCTGTGCTCAGATATGGGTCTATTTGTTTTCAGAGGGAGTCTGCCTAACTTTTGAGTATACGGGTCAGAGAAGAGAACTAAGCTATGCTCTCAGGAAAAAAAAAAGAAAAGAAAAGGAAACAAAAAGAATCTAACAACACGCTTTAGGTTTAAATTAATTAAAGGGAAAAAAATTAGTAAAAACAATCAAACGATATTGAACTTACATATTAACTAATTCAAAATGAAACTATGGGCTGAAACCAACTCATATCTATAATGTATGAAAAATCACAAGGAATTTAAGACTTGCATTAGTTTTGTTTGTTTTCTCTTCTCTTTTACTATCGCCGTTTGGATGTACGTTTGGTTGAATAAGAGGATAGTTATTTAAAGTATATAATATATTTCTCTAAATGCTTTTTATAAATGATTGTTTCACAAAAATTGAGGCAATGTACAAAATGTGCTTAAGAGAAGTGTCCGCGTTATGAGAAATAAATCGACAAACATCTAACTCATACAATAAAGTCTTAAAATTCATTCAAGACATGCCAAGAGATTATACTCTCACTGCGTAGCTTGAAATTAATTTTACACAACCATTCTTAGAGAATCAGTCCATAAAGTCACTTCATCAAGGTCGTTTGGGAACACTTCTCAGAAATGTATTAACTAAAACGTTGATACTGTAAGTTGCGTCACAATTTCTGAGAGTTACGAACGAAGGATTCCTTAATTTAAAACCCACACGTTACAAGTCAGTTTTAAACGCCTTCAAAGTGACAATAAAGAAAAGGAACGAGAAACTAATCAGGGAAATAAATGGTATCTAAGATCTAGCTAATCCTCGCAACAGTCTTTACCTAAGTTCATTTCTAAGAATATCTTACTTACCATCGGTTACATTGTTTTGACCTTTCACTTCCAAGATCTCGTTACTATTTCTTCTCACTGTCTGCCATACAATTCTTGTGACGTTAGTTCTGAGAATTTGGTATTGGAACAACTAATAATCCTTTAGTTGATATTTTTCTTTATTATATGGCTGTGTCTCACTAGGACTGGGAACTACCGAATTCACGAATTTGATTGGCTGAAATCAATATTGAAAGCGGTCTAGATTTTCCCATCTAGACCAGCATCTACACCGGTCTAGAAAAAAAAAGGTACAAAGAATATAAAAAATTGGCATGGAAGACACAACCATATAATAAACATCTTATTAACCGAGCTAGGTCGGTTTGTATGGGAGAATTTTGACCTCGGTCGCCGGTACAGACCTCACTGCGCTTGGTCTGTACTAGCGACCTCGGTCAAGATTCTCTCATACAGACCTCTCGCTCGGTTAATAAGAACTAACTACTCTCATCCCTTGCTTGCTTGAAATTGTACTTATATTGTAAGGAGAAATTCTGTCTTGGTCATAATTGGAAGTTGAAGGGATAATTACAATGAGAGAAAATAGAAAAAAATTTTACTTGAAAAAATCATGTTAATCATTTTCTGGAACATTTGTATAATTCTTAATCAGACAAAAATACCTGTGTAGTGGTAATTTTTTGTTGGAACAGCGGAGATAATATTCATAGAATTTACGTCAAATCAAAGGTGATTTTTTTTTTCAATAAAGTATACTTCTGTAAAAAGTATTTCTCAGTAGTTATTTACATTTTACATTTACCATGACTCAGCCTTCTATTATATGTGCTGAGGTATCTTGGTCAGACGGCAAGCTTGTAAAGTACTGATGGAGTTTAAAGAAATGCCTAGTGAAAATTGTTAGAGGGGTTCACTGACCAAGACGTAGAACGAATGAACCACGAAAGAAACGTTGCATTGTGAACGGAAGAGTAATTCCCAATTCACAGTTTATAAAAGGCCGATAGGAAAAAAAAAACCTATATTTGACAAAGAATAAATTGTAAAAATCACTCTTATGACTTTAACATTTGTAGATCAATACCCATGCAAAATTTTACTAAAACAGTTGGATTCCAATCTCGAATTCTACCAGGGGCTTTATTACTCATTCACTAATTGAACCTTACTCCAAGTTAATATGAAGTCGTCTCGGACAAAGAGAATAACACTTTAAACCCACAGTCACACCAAACAAACGACTCGGAATTTAGATTTTTCCACAGGATCCCTCTTGTGATTCAACTGGTTCCCAGTGCTCTCAGTCTTCACCTAACATGTCCCCATCCCGAGATTCAGGCTCGTCTGCCTTGCTTGTGACGTAGTCCTCGCGTAATTTGTCCAATTCGGCAAGCTCGCGCTGTAAGATTAAAAAGATGAAAAGAAATTTTCATCCCTGTGCTAGCTGCAATGTAACGAATCAATCGGTGTTCTCTGTACAAATGTGCACCTGCTCACTACAATATTGCCATAGGAAACCGATTAGATGCAGAGGAATACGATGGCTTTCGGGAGTGCCCTTTTCAAAGATTTCCGAAGTCTTGCGAAGATGTCCGAACTCTTCCGAAGATTTCCGACAAGCTAAGAAAAGTGTTCGTTAGTAAGACAAGAAATGGAGCTGACTTAAGATGATATACCTTCACGACTTCCAAGTGATATGCTCGCTTTGTTTTGATCTTCTGCATCGGGAAAGGGTTCAGAAATTGGAAGGCGAACTGAAAAAACAAACAAACAAACAAACAAACAAACAATGAAAGGAAAGTCATTTTGTGTTTATCTCTTCCTTCCCCAAAGCCATTCCTCAAATTGACGAGCCTAGCACCTGGTCCAAGGCAAGGTTCCTACTGTCTCAAAACTTTGCGTCCAGATCTTGCGACCTCAAAGCGGAGAATGTCTCAAAAGCAGAAGTTTTTTTTTTAAATCTATGTGCTATATTTCGGTTCAACTAACCGATTTTTTTCGATGGACTAGCATCCCTTCGTAGTCGCCTCATGCTATGGTAAAATGTTAAAGGTTGTTGACGAGGCAAGTGGCCCAGCTTGCCGGTTTCCGCAGCTTGAAGCGACTGAGAGCATTTCTGCTCCCTCCTGCATGGGATACTAGTCGGCCGCAGGGTTACCCCCCCTCCCGCAGCATTCAATTCGCCGGTACCCGTTTAAACACCTGGGTAAAGAGAGACATTGTGAGAGTAAAGTGTCTTGCCTAAGAACACAACACAATGTCCCCGGCCAGGGCTCGAACCCAGACCACTCGATCCGGAGTCGAGCGCACTAACCATGACGCCACTGAGCCTCCCGATACATGCTACAGAACCCGGATAAGCTTCAGCAGCATAGGCCTCTTGATTTGATCACAAACTTTGCCTCTACAAGTATGATCACTTGTTTGATTTCACGTATACCTAGAGGATGATCTTTCTTGACTGCTTGCTTTAAAACACGCCACATAGCGTAGAGCTATCTCTTACCTGAGATAACATGTTCGCATCGGTGACTTTTTCGGGCACTTGTCTCAGGAAGTTGAATATGCTCATGTGATCCTCACACTTTAAAAGTTGCTCTTCACTGCTTTTAAAAACGGCGAGGGCAAAGCGAAACATCACCTGACAGAAAAGGAAACCACAATCACCACACTCCGAAATCTCTGAAAGTCACAATCCTTCGTGAATTTCAATTACAAAACGGTTAGTCATATTATGGCGGAGAGGGGGAAGTGAGGTGGAGGATTTTGGTTTTGCCACAATCGAAATGATCCGATCCCCGCTCCCTAAGGTTCTTTATTATTCTAAGATCCCCCTCATTGGCGGTCATTTTTCTATGTTCCCCCATTTATACTCAGTTAGCGACGACTGATTCCCCCTCTGTTCCCCCTGAAAATCATGTGATTCCCACCAACCTGCTCCCCCCGCCCCTCTCCCCCCTCGGCGATAAATAACGGCTGCTCCCTAATTCTTGTCCATTCTTCAGTGGAAAGTTTCAAAAAAGGTCTCTTTGGATTCCTTTGCTGATGTTGCTTCCCGAATATTGAATCAGGTATGTTTAGGATGCTAAGTTATGAAAAAATTCAACCTAAAGATAGTTTTTACACAGAGGATTCCTCGAAATTTTCCATTAAAGTGCAATTTTGAAGGACAGTCTCAGACTTGATTTCTTGCCTAATGAATTTGAAGTTCGAGCATACTACGTAACTGTAAAAAAGAAAAACTATCCTTTACGTTTACATAGCTATGATTACACTACGGCCTACCTTATTTCCCTCGTAAAGAAAAGTGTCCCACACTCGCAGGGTTGTCTGAAACAGGAAAATAACGTTGTATTACTACAAAAAGGGACTGGAATCCAAACTGACACCCATAAAATCAGTCTGCTCTTTTGTTATGTGCGTAGCTAGTGAGCTGTGGTTTTGTTACCTGTATCGGGAAACTGTCTACAAACACCGTTAAAAACCAGTTGAAACAAACCAGCGAAAGATCCACCCTGTCAATCAAATAAAACGAACCAATCATATCTGTCGCTGTAGTTCTTTGACAACATACACAACGGATCCATTATCAATCGGCAAAGCGCATGTCCTGTCTAATCCTTAACTCCCCCAAGTGTGGGAGTTCGCAAAAATTCTCACATAAATTTTCCTCACAATACCAAAACATTCACATGCAAAGGAGTAAAGCGACGAATTGTTTGTCATTCGAGCTCTTAAGGTGGGGTTAGTAAAAATTGATGGGTCAACAGCTCAATTCCAAATTACCTCTGGCCTCTTTTTTAAAGCGAGTCTTGGTGCTCATCCTTTCATGTGTCAATAAGTTGTCCTTCATATGCAAATTAGTCTCATTTTCATAAGAATGGTTCACCACCGGGCCTCGTTTTGAAAAAGAGACCAAAGGTAAATCGAAATGGCCTGTTCTGACGTCATGTTATCTCCTATAAGAATCAAGCAAGTTAAGTCGGACATGATCGGTCTGTGTCGATCTGTCGCTCTATTCAGTTCCTTTAAATGTCGATGTCGTAAAAAAAGCCTTTCGTATGGTGCCAGCAGTTGTTGTCCTCTATTGGAAAGAGTGTGCCCGTGATAACAGAGAGTGTTTTCCGAGGTCAATCATTTGAAGTAGTTCGTGCTGTAAGTTTAAAATCGTGCAGTGTAGTTCATGAGTGGATGAGTCGTCAGAGAAGAGCTCTTTAATTGCTTACATAAGAGCGTCAAAATGTGCACTGAGTCTTGGGAGTTTCTCAGCCAGGAGATCCTTGAGCACGCGTTGATCAGCCTGTGATGCAACCAGTGTTTTGGAATAGTAGTCTCTGGGCATGAGGTGTTCTACAATAGCCACCAGACACCTGTAATAATCAATGCACGAAATTTGAAGTCTTCATTCGACGTGTACAGCAAATTTACAATGGCAGTTGAACCGTGAGAGGTGCAGTTTAGTCTGACAGCAACAAGTACAATTTCAATCCAAAATTGCAAGAAACAAAATTCAATTTCCATTATGCCGCAACTTGTTTCAAATCGCCCGAAAAGATGGTCGTCAGCTTCAAGAAGCGCATTATTGTCATTTACGAGTTGTAAATTTCTAAATTCGTCCAATTTTTTCTTACACAAAGCTTTAGCGGGCAAGTTGTGAAATCAGCCACATAATGGCGTTACCCTTTTCATTTTTACAACGTGATTGCCTTGAAATCTAATTAGTTGTTTCGTTTCAGCGTTCGTCTCTCGCTGTCCATGAAAAAGATGCGATTAATGGCAAAAGAAAGCGCAATTCCTGAATAATTTACACTGTTGAGAGCCGTGCAGACTTTAAGCTTTACCACTGATTTTTAGTCGTCTTGCTTTCGAAACTTTTTCAATTAAACACTTCATAAGCTTTCAATGATAACTATGTGTTCATCGTCACCATCATTTATAATGACAAAAACGGGATATGAAACACATAATGATCTAACGAAAGATCACACCCACCAGAAAGACTCTTCTTCGTTGAGGTAAAGTAGAGTAATGGCGACCAGCCGGTTTAATCCCTATAAAATACAACAGTAAGACGCACTCATAATAACAAGTCTTGTGTAGCTTCAGTTAAGAACCATCGCGTAGTTTACAGTGAGAGAGACATTTTGGGGGTCCCTCTTGAAACGTTCTCGAATTCGATGTTTCTTTTGTTATCACTGTTTAGAGCGTTTTATTTGCTTGGAACTTTTGACTTTTTATCAGCGCACGGTTCCCATCTGTGAGTGTTTCCTAACTAAGGAAGTTATCTCCGTTGAGCACAGGTGTTACGTTAACTTTCAAGGTCAAGAAAACATAATCAAATGAGAATAAAAGCACGTGTGGTTTCGGAAATAGAAGTGGTAGTTGGAGTTACTTTAAGAAAGGATGCCGTAAACGTTGTGGCAGCAAGACAAAGTACGTTCAAGAAGAAGCTTTTGTGATACCAGATCCTTGGTAACCTTCGCTCAACGAGTATACTTAAGCTATTTCCCCCCTAATGTCCCAAAACAATTATCAAAGGGTTTTAGGACAAAATGTCGTTACGCAATTTACACATCATTACCTGACAATTACCTTACCTGACAATAACCTACATCAGGATTATGCCAACTATAAGCCAAAAGAACTTCCCTTAGTTTGGTAGTCTGTCAGAAAGTAAACAAACAAACTAATCACAAAGCAAAACAAAAGGGACACAAGCTAGGTAAACGATAAACAGCCCTTTGATGGTTGCCACATTGCCACATTGCCACAGAAATAGGTTTTTTTTTCCTTGAATTTTCTCTTAAAAATTTAAAATTTTCCCGACCAACTGAATCAGCAATTTGACAAAAGAGTCCTAGCGGCGTCCAACCTCCTCTCGTAGCTATCTTCTCCACTATTTATTCCTGTTTGCCGCGAGTCACAGGCAGTTCACAGGAATTGATACTTGCTTGATGTAACGTGGAAAAGGGATTGACTCACTTGGAAAACCCACTAGATTCTCCTCAAGTTACCATCGGGGAAAAAAAATCTAGACTGACGGATGAAAGATCGAATATGATGGCTTCCACAGGTTCTATTGGGTTGGGTTCTTAGGGGTGAAGACAGTTTAATTTCACAGTGTCTCTCTCCATTCAGGGGTTTAAATGGGACAGGGTACCAATAGACTGTTGGTGAAACCTGGTAAAATGCTTGAGGGTTAACTTGAGATGGACTGGGACCCATTCAGGAGGAGTAACAATATTCGTGGAGTCTTCTTACAGCGGAAATCCAAATAAGCTGCATAGGTAAACATCGTTGTTGATCTTCAGGACTTACCCCGTCGGCGTCTAGCTTATCATAGTGTTTATTGTTTGGTAAGGTGCGCAGCAAGTCAAGCTCGATCTGTTTCACTGCAGGAGAAGGCTGACCTTTGATGGACTCCAGCAGATGATGATAATACTCGTCTCCTGCTACCCTCCTGGTTTCTTGTACGCACTCATTAATGCAAAAGTTCCATATCGTGGCGCGATGCTCGTGTGGTACACCGTTTCTAACCAGAGCTTTCAGTTCAGGCTGAAACGAGAAAATTCAGACGTTGTGACACCAATGTTTAAAATTTAGATCACAAAATAGTTATTTTTCGTTTCAGACAGAAAATTACTGTTCCCAAAGACGTCTGCAGCGTAAATCTGTGTTCACGAACATCGTTTCTCTTCTTTTTCGAAGATATTTTCATCGACAAAGTTTGCCTCCATACCGTCCGCCATTATATTTTTAGTTTCTGAGAAAATCAAATTGATATTACTTTTCAAGCGGACGTCTCGGGGAAACGACTTCCGTTGAGAGATTAACACCTGAAAACGTTAACAGTGACATTTCCCAAAGCCTGGATCAGAAACCTTCCTCTTTGTTCTCCAATTTTCTTTTGATTTGGACTGGTCAAAGAAATCGCTGTTTCAGTCCAAAAAAAGCAGGCAGGAAAAGAAAGGATACGAAAAGATGGGGTCATAGTTACGCCTGTGGCCCTGTGAAGTGAGAAGAAATCGAAATCTGGGCACTTACCGTCTTTTGCAGATCTCTGTTTTTGTGTGTCACCATATAGTTTTCCCACTTCACTTCCACTGACATTTCGTGAGAGCTTGCATTCATATTTGCCTAAGAAAAAGAACATTATGTTATTTTGTTTTAACCCTTGCGATGGATGACGCAGCATGTCCACTTCAGAGATCTCAACAGCGCCTGCGCTCTAAACTTTTAATCGGCCAAGCAGCATAGGTCCTGTAACAACGTCGACAATAATGTCAACATCTTTGGAGTGCAACATTATGCATCAGCAATGTTTCAGATAAGGCATTTACGACAGGATGTAGCCAAACAACTCCACTTGCTTTGAGTTCTTCTGATCTTCTGTCCATTTTCTTAGCCATTGATAGAAATGCTTCTTCGTCTTCGCCTTCAAGATTCTGCCTGAAGCCCCAGCGGTCGTAAGGTTGAATACTGGCAAAAAAAAAAAAAAAAAAGAAAAATAAGATCACCATCAGATTATAACATAACCAAAGTAAAGCACGCGCTCTGATTGGTCAATTTAGCGTCCCCCATTTGCCCATGGGTGTACGCTGCTGACGTGAGCAAATGCAAAGACTATTTTTACGCGCGCGCTTGTTTTTTCTGGTCACGCAAGATTTGTTAAATAAAAGGGAACTCTTTAGCTACAATGTATCAATGTTATGTTATAAAACAAATGGTAAACACCACAGCGTACTCTATTGAGTTATGGATGCACTTGGGAGGTTTGCTAAGCACTCAAGAAGCTAGAGTCGCTCTCGGCTATCGCCTCGAGCGACTCTTACGCTTCTTTCGTGCTTAGCAACCTCCCGCGTGCATCCATAACTCAATAGTGTACGCTGTGCTGTTTACCATTTGTTAATTAGCCAGTAACTTCTCCCAACAGTTTCGATGAAATGTCCAGCAAGTATTCATCCTCAGTAGTCAATGAGGATAGACAAACTTATTGGCCAAACGGTTTTACTTGTTAGAGCACCAAATCTCCTTATTAATTAACAGGGAAATGTTGAGTAAATGGAGGGGAGAATGACTAATTACGATCTTAAACGCGCAAATTTACCTTAAACTTAAAGGAGACTGCAAGATACTAGTTCGTAAAGATACAAAAACCAAAAGAAATAACACTTTTTTCCGAGAGGGAATAATTATGGCTACAAAAAGAAAAACAGGACGGATTTGAAGAACTGTAATCATTTTCACTAAAAATTCATTCATGAATAATTGGATGGACTTGTCTTCTCACGAATGCCGACCCCATCGAGTTGGCAGAGACCATAAAAATCTCTTAAGGAGTGATTCGCCTGTCAAAGAACATTGCATGCTGAAGCACTAAGATAAGACGATAGAACGATAATTATTATCACTATCATGGTTGGGCAGTTTTTATTTATTTCTCGATGCCTACTAAATGATGATAACAGTAATACAGTTCATGTTCTTAGGAATAATTATGCTCTGGTTCGTTCTTAAAGCTCATTTCAACCTTGGCCTTGCGGCTCAGGCTAGTCGGGCCCAAAACATATTTACGCTCTCGACCATAAACTCTGATTATTTAATAAGCGACTAACAAACAACGACACAGGCAGCCTTTGCAGGGCACTCAGAGCTGTCAACTGGTACTCCTTTTTCATGTCTTCCGAAACATTTTCGCCGCAAGCTGCTTGCTCAAGTAAAACCCTTAAAATGAAGTACTTCATGTTGTCTGCACTCACCTGGACCGGGACAATGTTAACACCTCACGTGACTCGCTGTCAATGGCATCCTCCACCAGTCTGCTGATTACGTCATCATCCACATTCCAGCGCTCACCATCTAGTTGAAATATCCCACTATTAGTTCAAATAATTTTTCGGAAAAAATTGGTGTTCTTCTCATTGATTCAAGGAAAAAAAAGAAAACCCTAAAATTGCAGTAATAACAACAAACATCTACAGCTAAGGGCCACCCCCTGTAATACCACAATACTCTTTCACCAGGACGTAGGTTTGGGTGAAACTTGATGTAAGCTTGACACTTCCAATGTCCTTCATGCACAGGCTCAGCCTCACTGAGGCATAATTATCTAAGTGTCCTTTGTGAGGACTGGCAAAACGGGAACAAGTCTCGAGGGTAACAAAGTGTCGAGAAAAGAAACCCATACATATCAGCAATATTGGCTGAGGAAAAATGGTAAATAAGCCTCTAAAATCATAAACCATAAGAATTAAACTCTATCGAGGCCAACGATAGCATCGTGGTTTTTGTGCGCAGACATGTAGAGTATTCACACTGTGAAAAGATCGACGCATAAGTTCTTAACAAATTCACTCGTTCCTAAGAACGAAGACAGAGAAGGAATTACCAAGAATTCCCCATAAAAGCTAACATAGTATTTTCCAAACAAGTGAAAAACCAACACTTCACCTCTTCGTGGTTTCTGGAATTCTCTAAGTACAAGGAAGTACTTGCTTTTGTATTTACACATCTCAGCTTCAACGGTAGCCAGTCGCCTGAAAATACCAAGACATCTTTCATCAGACTGACTTTAGATAGACATCCCTGCGCGAAACAAGGGTTTTTTTTTAATGTCGTATCAAGCTAGAGAGGAAAGCGTGCGGCGGTTTACAGCACCGTCGTGTGGAAAAAAAAAAAAAAACTAAGTTTAAATTGCTAAATACGGCTCTTTACACCCGAACCACGGTTTTTCAATACTTTTACTTGACTATGTCCCGTGACTAGTCTAGAAAACTTGTATCACCACCAACTAGGTGCAAAACCATAAAGAATCGTGTGTCGATCACTTGTGTTTGCCGCCCTTCAGTCAGTTTATTTGTTTTCTCTTTGTGTTTTCCTTGGATCACTGTGCTACTTCCTTTGTTCTTGGTATTTTCCAGTGTGAATAGGGACCTTAAGAAAATCACGAAGGCAACGGCAAAGAGGACGAGGCAAAACAAGAGACCTAATTGACAGATTAACAGCTCAGCACGTGCATTTTTAAACTTTGTACATTTCTTAGCCGTCCTCTGCCAAATAAGAACGTGAATTCGCCAAAATTTACGTTTTCCGAAAATGGAAACACCGACGACAAATTGCTAAGTTTAAATTTGGAACTTAACCCCGCTCCTATCCATGAAGCTGAAGTTGAGGCGTAGCGCCTTCAGAGGCAGAAAACACATCCAGCCATTCACGGAATTCATTCTATAAATTTAAATTCATTGTCGTCCTGATTACTTAAGGTCCCTTTTGTCGTGGCTTTAGTCTTATGATAATCAATTGTCAACTTGCATCATACTTACATCGTTTGCGCCTTGAGAATCTCACTTTCGTGGGCTCTGAGCTTATTAAATTCCAGAATCTCGCTGTTTAAGAACCTGTTTTGAAGTACGTAAGCTTGGCACGTTTCCTACAAGGAGAAAAGTACCACATCGCAACTTAACTGAAGAAGAAATTGCTTAGTATGCTAATTTTGAATAAAACAGCCAATTATTGCAGTAACAAACACTGCCCCGTGTTTTTTTGAATGAACCCGAACAGCCAAATTCGGAAAAAAGAAAAACGGTCGGGGCACCAAGAAGAAGGAGGAGGAGGAGAAGGAGAAATGATATTTTATACCACGTACATGACAACTGCTGACTAATGATGTCAGCGGTATTTCTTTGAAAATGGAACAAGATAGTGCTCGAAGGTTTGAAAAGGTCTTTAAGACCCTAAAACTACTAAAGCAATATTCGAAAATGCACAAGGATAGAAAAAAAAAAAAAAAAAAAAAAACAGGACGTGGAAATGATATTAGAAGATTTTGTGACTTTTTCATTGGCTAGTTCGGAATGAGAACAGATACTATCGCGCAAACTCCAAAAGTGAGGGCAAGCTAAAAATTTAAAAAGATGGAGCTGCACACTTATTACGAAAAAAGTTAGTCCTCGTCAGTTCGCAGAGCCGCCTTCTAAACAACGGGGACCTTGAGGAGTCAGGACGGTAACGCCAAGGAAGACATCGATTAAAAAAATGAAAGCCTACTTTTGATTAGAATTTCGAAAATGGCTGCATGTGTTTACCGTCTCATACGGCGCCACACCTCAACTTTAGCACAACGTCTAGAAGTAACGTTGAGTTCCAAATGGAAATTAATATAATTTGCCGTCGCGGTTTCCGTCCGCAGACGACGCAAATTTTGGTGATTTCACATTGTTGTTTTGCAAAGGACGGCTAAGAAATGAACAAAGCTTTAAAACGCACGTGCTGGGCTATTGTTCTGCCAATTGGATCTTTTGTTTTTCCACGTCTTCGTTGTCGTTGGCGTCGTGGTTTGCTTAAGGTCCTTTTCTTAAACTCCCGAACGCCAAGCTGATAGATTTCAAAGACAACTTTCGTGTTGCACGTAACCATTACTAAAGGTACGGAGCAGGAAAAAGGATTGCTGATTACTATGTTCTCTCCTACCTTAAGTTTCTCTATCCCTTGGATATCATCGATTCTGTTCTCTGCAGATTTGGTATCACTGCTCTTACAAGACGTCGAACTACAAAAGGGAGAGACAAAATCATCGCGAAGATAGTACACAAATAAAAAAATAAAAAAAAACGCAGCTCCGTCTACCGCTTCGATAAAAGGAAACGCAAATGCCTGGTGCAAAAGCTTTGCGACAAAAGAAGGACTGCATGGAAAAACAATACTAACATTTTACGAGGACAAAAAACTTTTAGTACATACCTTTCAAATTCTTCGTTGTTTTCTTCGTCAAATTCTAGAACTTCTTCACCTTCTACAGTGGATTTCTCTAATGCATATAACTAATGAGAAAAAGAAAGAAAGTATGTAAGTCAGAGTGATAACCGGTAATCATTTCTGTTGCTGCCTGTCTTTATAATTTTAACGCTCCCAGTAATCCCTGCGAACTGTGGTAAGCAACTTGACTTGAATCGCAAACCTTTGCGATCCTTTCTAGAGCCTGCAATGTTGGCACATTCCTAGCGAAACGGAACGCGTTAACCATTTTTTTTTTACAGCGAATCACGCCGCTCTCTAAGATAAGTATACGAAAGAGTAGGTCCTATGGACATGTCGAACACAAAAGAAATCTGAGCAGCTGAACTTCTGCAAAGAACTTTAATAAAATATAGTTGTACACAGTTGAATTTTGCGTCATTGGACGCAGATGATAACCAAGACATGATACAGATTGTAGCCACTTAACCTTTTGCACCCTAACATGAGTTTACATATTCTCCATACTGTTCTCTGAACCTTTCCTAAGGTGCTGACAAAGAGAATTCTCTTAACAAACAAGAGCTTCTTCAGTTTGTGATCATTTCCTTTATTCTCGTGACCTTAACGTGTGATTCAGGGGTGATATTGTAAGGAGAAATTAGATGCTAGTCAGGTTCAGCACACTGATGACCGTTGCCACGACAATTTCATTTACCTGGTCAGTGAGCGAGACAACGACTTGGTCCTTAACTTCTGTCATCTCCTTGTACATCTGGATTTGGTCCTTACACTCTCGAAGCTCTTTATTCAAAGCCCTGAAAGAAAGGCGGAAAATTGTCGGTCTGGGTCGAGATCTCGACTATGTGATAAAAATGGTACTTGAGAGAGATTCCTTTCAAATGACAGAAAAAACAGGCTAAATATTCTATATATCGACTCGTGCGCCGCCATAGGATATGGTTTTGACCTCTTTGTGGTCTGAACCTGAGTATGCATTTAGGTGGAGCGTTTTACAGAGGAAAGAACGTCATGAATTTGTATTTATTTTAGTGAACTGTTCATGCATCCTTACTTGGTTGCAACGTCAGCCTTTTTCAGCTCCGCAGTCTGCTCCTTTAGCTTTTCTTCCAACTGCCCAGTCAGGAAAAGAAACATAACAAAGATATTGTTCAGTAGTGAAAATTTATCGTTCTCACATTTTCGGACAAAAAATAGAGAGGGGTCAAGCGTAGTTTCAAGTGTAGAACAAAAAAACACGATAAAATAAAACAAATAGTAACAAAAACGGAAAAAAGCGAAGCAAAGCACACACACGCACACGCACACAAAACATGCACGTACGCACGCACGCGCACACACGCACACAAAACATGCACGTACGCACGCACGCGCACACGCACACAAAACATGCACGTACGCACGCACGCGCACACGCACACTCCTTTTGATAATCTTATTCAGATCATTGCAACGTACCAAAAGTTTTGCGTTAAAGTTGCAAAGTCATCTTTTGCATTCGGTTTTGCTACATATCACTTTCTCCATCCCAGATTTTCGACCGACAGTGATCATACACTGACTTTTGTATGTCACGAAGATATCCCAAAGCTACTTTAGCTAACAATGAATTAAGGTTTTGCTACATATCAGCTTCTTCATCACAATATTTCGACCAACAGCGACCATACACTGACTTTCGTAGGTCACGAAGATGCCCGAAAGTTACTCTAGCTAACAATAAACTAAGGTTCAAGGCTATAAGAAAAAATCCCATAATCTCGGGCTGACGAGATTTCGAGATTGGATAAAAATTTTGTGAGATCCACGATTTTTCAAGGTATCATTTGTCATCCCTTCGTAATAAAAGCCCCCCTAGTAAGTAAAGATCACATTAAACTAACTTGTGCAATGTATATGAGTTTGTCCTTCATTTCTTCTGATAACGATCTCTGTTCTTCATCTTGATCTTGTGTCCTAGGAAAGCAAGTGTTGGAGAAGGATTTAATCAAATACCACTCGTTTTCCCGCCCTTTTGTGGTTTTGCCGCTGAGGACCGTGGGTTTCAGTACTCATTTTTTCTAAAGCGGCCACCTTTGTTTTGTAATGATTTGAGCTCGAAATAAATTATTTTAGTATATACTAAAACAGTGGATAGCGTTGAAGGCGCGCTCTGATTGGCTAGTCGAACTCCGAATATCCTTTACTATTTACCTCCGAGCAACTCGGGAAAAAATGGCGTCCCGGTTTGCATCCGTGACAAGTGAAGAAATCACTCAAATCAATTTTTGGTGGTGTATATTATCTTACTGTTTTAGTATATACTAAAACAACTATTCACCTCAGTGTCGGTGGTTAGCGGTAGATATTTACCTCGCCGCTTCGCGGCTTGGCAAATATCCACCACTAACCACCTCCACTTCGGTGAATAGTTGTTAATTATTTGACGATTTCTTTCTGCTTATTCAACTGTTCTGGTATCGAGAACAACAAGTATGATCAAAATCGTGTGGGAACAAAACGAAAATAGAATGAGAACCTCAGATGCACGTGTACATCACCAATTAAGTACATACATCTTCTTAGACGTTTTGTTATGTAGTATCACTGAGTATTTTGACGAGTTGTGCCGTATTTGACGAGTCCGTAGGGCGAGTCAAAATACAAACAACGAGTGAAAATACTCAGCGATACTACACAACAAAACGTCTAATGGGAGATTTATTATCCAACACGCCAAATTGCTATTTCAGTGCGGGCGAATTTCGCAGATATTTCTGAAATACAAATGTCGCATGATATTTGTACTCGTCTAGCGCGTTATTTGTACTCTGCGAAGCACAGTTGGATAATAACACTTTTTATTACACAAAAACCAATGAAAATATCAGGTACGCTTCCGCGCGAAGACGTGATATCTTCGCAAGTGAAAAAACATGTTATCTTCACACGTGAAAATAACACCTTAACAATGGTAAAATAACAATTAGTGCCTTACGTAGCGTAGGTGGAATGGTTTGGTTTTTCATTAGTATTTATATAATCAATAAAAAAATTACATGGCTGCTTGGAAATAAGAAATTTTTAATGGAGTATTGAAAAATATTTCACGAATGAGTGAAGCAAACGAGTGAAACATTTTTAACACTTAAATGGAAATTTCATATCTCCGTGGGGCCATGTAATATCCTCATTTCTGTCGGCGCAAACAAATTCTTAGTAGTACAAATATTTATATCAAACCTTATGCTATTTTCTATTTCAAATTGTCTGAAATAAAAGGAAAGTCGTTTAGCGAGAACCACACTTTTGATTACTTTCAACAAAGTACACTTCAGTTCGGTCGTGCTTAACAAACATTAGGAGCAATTTAACTTCACGAGGACTACCATAACAAAAATTCAGTAAAAAAAAAAAATAGTTACGTATAGGTACGGCATCATGAAATAGTTACTAGAGTTGACATCTTTATTTATACAGGATAGCCCCTGCAGTGTAGTAAACACTGGTATCAACGGGGGTCCTGTTACCCACCCATCCCACCCCAGGGGAGGACATCCATCACACAGTAATCTCGTACGTGGGAAATTAACGTCTCTTACCCCTAACCCTGCAGGAGACGGGACCTCCATTTATTCGTTCCTATTCGAGAAGACTAGAATATCTAACCATTTCTTGATGTCATAGATAGGCAGCATATTCTTCTCAACTATTTTAAGACCTTGAGTGTTGGTCCGGCCGGGGCTCGAACCCTCGACCTCCCGCACAACAGTCCAGCGGTCTATCCATTGAGCTAACCGAGAGGTTACTATGCTTCACAATAAGAAAAAAATGAACTCCAGCGACCTATCTTTGGGTAACTGAGACTTGAAGGAGAATTATGACAAATATAATAATAATAATAATATAGATCAATTTCTATAGCGCATTTCCATGTAAATGAGCTAATGCGCTTTACAACACTGTGCGGGGGACTTTTCCAGACTGCCGGCAGCAGTTAAAACAAATACAGTTACAGTAAAACAAACTTTTAAGGAACACACTTAGCCCACCCCCCCCCTCCCTTTTTTTTTCGTTTAGCGTCGCATGAGTGTCCTGATATCGGGGTGGTCGGTCGGATTGAAAAAATACCCTAAAAAAACAAACCATCACAAGAAGTCTCTGAATAGAAGGCCTGGTGCTTGGGATCATTTCAAAAAGTTAACATTTTTTATACTTGGATTACCAAAATGCTAAATGTACAGTAAAAAAAATTACTTAT